CATCATCACCATCATCATCATCACCACCATCATCATCAGCACCACCACCATCATCATCATCATCACCATCATCATCATCACCACCACCACCACATCATCACCATCACCATCATCATCACCATCATCATCATCATCATCATCATCACCATCATCATCATCATCATCACCATCATCACCACCATCATCATCACCATCATCACCACCATCATCATCACCATCATCATCATCACCACCATCATCCAGCACCACCACCATCATCATCATCATCACCATCATCATCATCACCACCACCACCACCATCATCATCATCATCATCACCACCATCATCACCATCACCACCTACTTTTTTACATCCTCCTGTTTCTCGACAACATGTCTGGCAATTCGTAACCAAAGTTTCTTCTGCAGAGCCTCGTCATCGTCAGGCTTGCTTGCTTGAATCTTTGCCAGTTCAACATCAAACTAAAGATATTTACATCAACCGACTATGAAGGCCGATTTACACTAGCAAAGTTTCTGTGATCACAGTAGGAACGTTGCATAAGTAAATTCTAAGTTTTGAAGGATTTGTAAGAAATTTGTTTCAGAAAACTGACTCAGTGTTAATTGGACGCCCTCTTTCAGGATCCCTGCTAAAAAGCCTGTTTCTAGGCCTGGTCCCCAGATTATTTTGAAAGCTCTGCCCACTGAATATCTAACCGACTATGCCACACCAAGTGAAAACGATATATCAGACTACTTACAAGTAAAGCGAGGTCAACGGCTTCCTCATACAAGCCCATAGTGCTATAGATGTGAACACAGGCCGGCTTAAGATCATGCTCTGAACACAATCTCAACGCGTATTCCAAGTCGTAGCTGACTTCGTCTCTGTCCTAAAATATTGTGAGCAGTTTAAAACTGATAAAGCTATCCAGTATAAATAAAGTTAATTTAGTTAAAATGCCCATTGTAATATCTCTTACTGTATCTCTAAGGAAGAACAGTTTGGAACTGATAGAACTAGTCCAGTATAAAGTTAGTTTATTCCTGTATAGTAACACTGGATCAATAAGAAATGATCCTTACTGAACCTCTAGGGGGAGAACAGTTTAGAACTGATAAAGCTATTCAGTGTAAATAAAGTTAGTTTAGATTTCCTCCTGTAGTAACACTGGGTCAATAAGAGATGATCCTTACAGCACCTCTGGGGAGAAAAGGTTAGAACTGATAGAGCTATCCAGTACGAACAAAGCTAGTTTAGTTTATGTTTCTAGTATAGAGAGCAATCTAAAACTCTTTAACTGGCAGAGCTTCCAGTATAAATAAAGTTAGTTCAGTTAAGGTTTCCTCCTGTAGTAATACACTAGAACAATAAGGGATGAAAATAACCGAACCTGTGGAGGCAAACAGTTTATAACTGATAATATTATACCTCACAATGAGCTTGTCCAATCAGAGAACTAAATTTGTACCACATGACCATGGTATTTTTCAGTGAATACTATGACCTAGGCAATTTGAACCCTGGGTGTTTTACCCGGGGCCATGGTATTCGACTTCGAATACCACGCTTGAGCGGGAAATTCGACTTTTTAAATGTAAAGTTATCAAAAGTTGTGTTTTGAAATTAAAAGTTAATTGAATGGTATTTGTTTTCTACTTATTTTTGAAAGGTTCGGTATAATATACCATTTATAGACCTTTCACTCGGGGTATTCCACAAAAAATTACCCTGCGGGATGAAATATTCCTCGGGCTTCGCCCTCGGAATATTTCATCACTCAGGGTAATTTCGCCCTCGGAATATTTCATCCCTCAGGGTAATTTTTTGTGGAATACCCCTCGTTTCAGGTCTATAACTGATAAAAGCTATCCAGTATAAATGAAGTTAGTTAATTTATATTTCCTCCTGTAGTAACACCCTGATCAATAAGGAATGATCCGTATTGGACATCTGGGAGAACAGCTTAAAAAGGATAGAACTATGTAGCATAGATAAGGATAGTTTAGTTCAGGTTTCTTTCGGTATAAGAGATGGACATCAATGGACCTTTAGAGAGAAAAGCTTAGACAGTGAGAGCTTCCGAGTACAGAGTTAATTTAACATACTTGTCCCTGAAGTTGTAAATATCTCATGAGTGAGACATCGTCCAGTTGTTTCACGTATAAGGACAGTAGATAGTTGTGAATAGCTTGATCCCGTACTCCGAGGATTTCCACACAGAAGTCTAAATATCGCACTGCTTGTTCGATCTAAGAAATAAAAAATATAACAGAAATAATATTCAAGTTTTGCAGTCAAGTAGGGATACATTAGATATCAACACAACTGAGCTCTGTAACCAAATTATAATGTATCACTACTTTCATTCTTCAACAAGATAAACTTTAGGGGTGCACCAGATTTGGAATTTTCAAATCCGGCCGGAACCGGATTTACCGGATTTGAACAAAAATTCCGGCCGGAATTCCGGCCGGATTTGAGAGAAAACCGGTAATAGGGGACAATTGGGAATAAATTGGGATAATTCAGTATTCAAAATGGCGGTTTATGCTTTTTTCTATTTTTAGTTAGTGTCAGTTTAGATTTTTGATTGTGTTTAAACCTTTTTTAAATATCTTTTTGTTAATAACTTAATATTTTATAGTAGTATAAGTGTTTTTTTTAAACTTTAAAGCTACCAAATTGATGGTTTATCCCATTCTTGGTGAATTTTTAAGATGAAAACAGAAATTTAAATCCGTCCGGATGCCGGAAAATTCGTTAAATCCGGCCGGAATTCCGGCCGGATTTGAAACCCGGTGCACCCCTAATAAACTTCAAGATTTAAGATGACAAATAACTCAATCAGTTTCACGAAATAGTACGTCGTTTTCGAAAACAACCAGGCTATAAAGTAGAGCAGGTTGAGAAAAACTAACTTTGTTTGAAAGCCTAGAATGGAGGAAGGAAAGCAGAATTGATATTTCAAATACTAAACAAATAACTGGCGTTAAACATCATGGCACCCACCGGGTTATTTTGAAAGCCCTGAAATTTTAGTGGTTTTCAAGAGGGACATGGTTTCGAAATCTGCCCAGGAGGTGAGAGGTGAGTCATCAGAAACCTTACGATTTAGGACGGCAACGCGACGGCAACGGCTACCAATACAATAAATCATTGAAAATAATTGAATAATTACAATATACGAATAATGTATACATTAAATCTGCTGTGTTGGTGTAATGTACTCAGGTGAATAAGATGTTTGTGTGATGTTACTCTGAGTGTATATCCACACCGGGCAGGCTTGAAAAATATGCCTGGCCACGGCGGGATTCGAACCTACGACCTTTGGAATACTAGCCCAATGCTCTTCCAACTGAGCTACGCGGTCAGGACGGTTCGAGTATGCGATATTTCGGAACTGAGTCTAGTTCCTTCGATATCAGTGTAATCTACACCAACACAGCAGATTTTATGATTATTAGATTACACTGATATCGAAGGAACTAGACTCAGTTCCGAAATATCGCATACTCGAACCGTCCTGACCGCGTAGCTCAGTTGGAAGAGCATTGGGCTAGTATTCCAAAGGTCGTAGGTTCGAATCCCGCCGTGGCCAGGCATATTTTTCAAGCCTGCCCGGTGTGGATATACACTCAGAGTAACATCACACAAACAATGTATACATTGTCCTCCCTCTGTTTACAACGCCAAATCACAGACTTTCACGTCTTGATACAACGGCTGCATTTCAAGCCGCAACAAGTGCAACTTCAAACTGGGTTCAGCAGAACTCTTCCCAAACATAAAACCCATGTCTTCAACTTCTAAGACTGTATTCAATTCATACGATTGATAATATACGACGAATTATCTTTACTACCATTTATTGGAAGGAGTTTGTTTTGGCCGTCGTCGTCGCGATGCCGTCCTAAAATCGTAAGGTCTCCATCACCGAAATTGGACGCCCTTTTACAGAATCTTGACTAAAAGCCTGTCTGCAAAGCCAATGAAGAAAAAATCAACAAGCACATACCAAGGCCTTATCTTCCTTCTGTTCGTAATAGACTAGAGCCGGAATAAGCTTTCTCGGGTCCAGCCTTTTCATCTGCTCAATCCACGCGTTCACTGTATCCTCGGGGATATGTTGCATTAAGACTGGAGAGAATTTGTAATAAAGATCAGGCTCGTTCTGAAAAATACAGATTTAATTTTTTTTTTATTTCACTGTAGCAAATACAGCAGGTTTTCTCCTAGCATTCCAGTTTCCTCCTGTAGGACCTCTAGTGAGAACAGTTTAGAATTGATAGAGCTATCCAGTATAAATAAAGTTAGTTTAGTTTAGGTTTCCTCCTGTAGTAACACTGGATCAATAAGAGATGATCCTTATTGAACCTCTAGGAAGAACAGTTTAGAACTGATAGAGCTATACAGTATAAATAAAGTTAGACGTTTAGTTTAGGTTTCCTCCTGCAGTAACACTGGATCAATAAGAGATGATCCTCACTGGACCTACAGAGATAACAGTTTAGAACTGATAGTGCTATCCAACTAAGTCAGTTTAATTTAGGTTTTCGTATAGAGTGAATAGTTTATAACAAACCTGTTTTTTCAGGACTTCCAAGGCAGCTCTGTAGTCATCGTGTTGTATATGGTGGTGAATGACACGTTCAAAATCTGAACACAAAAATGTTGAGAATGAGTGTCCCAAAAATATGCAATGGCTACGTTCCAGACTTTTACACAGTTAACCATCAGTGGGGAATGCCTAATTTTGACACAAACATATTAAAATTGTCCGACCCGAGTGTATTTGTGTCCAACCGCACTGTAGCTTTGTCCGACGCTTGCTCCCCGCACGTAAATCAAAATGTACCCTAGTTCAGAACCAGAATTTGTATAAAAATGAATCGGAAATGTTGCGGGACGGCGAGTGAAATGGTGAGGTGGAAAACGGGTTTAAGTCATCGAAGTCGTACTGCTATCATTGGCAAGCAAGTGGCTTGGAAATAAGTATGAATAAAACAAAACAAAATCGAGACTCATGCACATCAAACCTTTCATCAACATGGCTAAGAATATCAGGTTTTCGACATCACCATGACTAGCTATCAATTCGTAGGCTGTTCGTCTGCTCTCATCCAGCGAGGTCTTCATTTGTATACAAGAATACAAAAAAAAAGTTAGACCAATGCAAAGGATGGTTATTACTGGACCTCGGGAGAACAGTAAAAATAAAGTTAGTTTTGTTTAGATTTCCTCTTGTAGTAACACTGGATCAATAAGAGATCACCCTTACTGGACAACTGGGGAGAGCAGCTTAGAACTGATAGAGCTATCCAGTATAAATAAAGTTAGTTTAGTTTAGGTTTCCTCCTCTAGTAACACTGGATCAATAAAAGATTATCCTTACTGGACCTCTACGGAGTTTAGAACTGATAGAGCTATTCAGTATAAATAAAGTTAGTTTCTTTAGGTTTCCTCCCGTAGTAACACTGGATCAATAAAAGGTTATCCTTACTTGAACCTCTAGGAAGAACAGTTTAGAACTGATAGAACTATTCAGTATGAATGAAGTTAAGTTTAGTTTAGGTTCCCTCCTGTAGTAACACTCGATCAATAAGATATGACCCTTACTGGACCTTCAGGGAAAACAGTTTAGAACTGATAAAGCTATTCAGTATAAATAATGTTAAGTTTAGTTTAAGTTTCCTCCTGTAGTAGCACTGGATCAATAAGATATGACTCCTTCTGCATGACCTCTAGGAGAGCAGTTTAGAACTGATAGAGCTAACCAGTATCAGTTAAGTTAATTTAGCTTAGGTTTCCTCCTGACGTAACACTGGATCAACACAAGGTAACACTTACTGGACCTCTAGGAGAATAATTTAGTACTGATACGAGCCGTTCAGTATAAATAAGGTGAAGTCACACATAACGTACTGTATACGCGATGAATTTCCCACCTTAACTTTGTTTGTTGCAAGCAGTTTTCTGAAATCATCCTGCACTCTTTCGAAATCTTGCCTCTTCTCTTCCCCGACATCTCGTAATTCTCCAAGTTCGTTCAAGTAAAGTTCAATAAGCCACATTGTAATCATCGTGATCTGACTTTTGTCCTAGCAGAGAAAAGGTTCAAACGAGTGAAGGTTTAGATTTAGAAAGGTGACATGGTATGGTACGGCATGACAAAGCGTGGTGTAACATGTTAGGAAATGTTGTGGTGTTGTATTGTACGGACAATGATGTGGTATGGTATAATATGGCATGGCGTCCTAAATTTTTTAACTCCCTCCCCAAAAATATATATGATGCTTCATCCGTCTCCGGTTTTCGGAAAAAACTTAAAGAATATTTATTTAGACTTTAATTTTGTATTATTTAAACACACAATCAATGTAACATAGTTTCTATCTATGCTTTGTCAAAAACCTGATCCCAATTTTTTGGTCTATTTTTCCTTTTCATCCAAATTTTGTTTGTTCGTTTACACATTGTATCTTGCTCGATATGTTTTTACAGCTAACACTAAAACTTTGCTATATATGTATTACTGTAGTTTGATCTAGGTGGCCCAAATTACATAAGCCCTTATGGTTTCTTTTGGGTTTCCTTGCCTTACAAAATGTAATTTTTTTTTTCTGTTTGATATTGTAAACATTTTTTTTTTTTATTGGCTAAAATAAATTGACTTGATTGACTTGACTTGATGTGTGGCATGGTATGAAATGGTGTGATACGGTGCGGTGTAGCATGGCAAGAAATGGTATGGTATGGTGCTGTATGGATTAGTATGGTGCGGTAAGCTATTGGTGTGGTATTGAATGGTACCCTGTGAATGGTATAATGTGATGTTGTATTGTATGGTATGGTATGGTATGGTATGGTATGGTATGGTATGGTATGGTATGGTATGGTATGGTATGTGATGCAATGGTGTGGCATGGTATGAAATGAAGTGATATGGTTCAAGGTGGTATGGTGTTGCATGGCAAGGGATGATGGTATGTAGTATGGTATGGCATGGAATGGCAAGATATGGAATGGTGTGGTATGATCTGGTGTGGTTTGTGGTAAGTTATGTATGTAATAGTATGGAATGGTGTGGTATGACAAGGTATGTTGTGCTATGGTAAGATATGGTAAGATATGGTATGGTATGGTGTGGTATGGCATGGTGTGACATGACATGGTATGGCATGGTATGGTATGGTACGGTATGGTATGGTATGGTATGGTATGGTATGGTATGGTATGGCATGGTATGTGGTGGGCAGATATACATATGAACAGCCCTATCCAACAAACCTTATTGTCCATATTATTCAATTTCTTCACCAGAAATACTTTCAAAGAATCTTGCTCCGACACTTGAATGAACTTCAATGCAACCTCTTCAAATGATGCTTGCGTTAAAGCAAACGTCGCGGCTGCTGGTCGATATCTATTAAGTCAAACCCAGATCAAACGAATTGATGAGAGTCGAGAAGCGAGAGTTTGCATGAGAGGTAATGAGAGTTGAGAAGCAAGAGTTTACACGAGAGTTGATGAGAGTTAAGAAGCAAAAGTTTACATGAAAGTTGATGAGAATTGAGAAGCGAGAGTTTGCATGAGAGTTGACGAGAGTTAAAAAGCGAGAGTTTGCATGAGAGTTGATGAGAGTTGAGAAGCGAGCGTTTGTATGAGAACTGATGAGAGTTGAGAAGCGAGAGTTTGCATGAGAGTTGAGAAGTGAGAGTTTAGAGAACTTAGCCAAACTTGACTTTATTTCAACTGGATAACTGTGTCAATAGAAAACCGTTACTTTCTTTTACTTACTGCTTGTTGTTGAAAAAGTTTTCAGCTTTTCTTCTTAAGACTTCATCTGTATGAACTGGGTTATCCTGTGAATAAACGAGAACAATATTGCTCAAAACTCTGAAGATGGCTATGGTATTAATCGAATCAATGTAGGGCCAGTCTATAACATGACTAGAAACATATGTGAGAATGTCGTCAAAGAGGTGAGATATTAACCATTAATGAAGTGAAGAAAACTATTTGGATGAATCCTCGTCCGTTCCATTCTAATAATATTCTAATAATATTGGAAAAGTTTTCGAAAGAATTTGTGCTTTTGGACGACATCAATGTCTATATTTCTCTTTCAACACAGTCTTATTGTTACTAAAAATCTAAAACCTTAGTTAAAACATTAAAATCCTACTATTTTCAAATAAGTTAGGAAGTTTTAGAAAATTCGAAGGAAGCCCTCCCATGCCCTACACTGGAAACAACTCACCCTCGCGTACTCTTCAGCTTCTTCAAACATCCCTTTGTCCAAATACAATTTCCATACATGCCTATTAACAAGATACGAGGTGATATTTTTACTAGCTTAGAATCTATGTCCTCTCAAATCAAGCCCAGCAGCTCTCCTCAAGGCCGGATTTTGGTGGAAATAGTGGGGGAGGTGGAACAAAATTTAGGGGGAGGTGCAGCTGTCTAGCTCACGACGCCCATGAAAAGTTGGCCTTCGAACGGGTCAACGTCAACGACGTGACGTATGCATGTAGTGTACATATGTATCAGTGTATTAATGAATTACGACTGTACAACTCATCCAATTTTGCCCTTCATTACAATTACTACAAAGTTTCTTTCAAAACATTGCACTAAAAGAGTACTTGACACAGAGATGAATGGCTATCACTGTTTCAATTTTACAGAAAAACTTTCTTACGAAGTGTAAAACCTAAGCAACCATAAAATGTCACAAATTTTCACTTTGATCTGTCATTGAAACTTCCCCAAGGGGAGGTGCATGCCTTTTCAGGGAGGTGCAAAAATTCTCAGGTGAGGTGCAAAACGATTTCAGGGAAGGTGTGCACCTTCCCACACCTCCCCTAAAAATCCGTCCATGGCTTTCCTCAGTTTATCATGATCGAATCTTTGATTTCAATAGCCTGAATATCCGAGCCAGACTCAAATGTTAATCGGGTCGCTATTCGTCGCTATACGGGCATTACCAGCATATTGATCACGTCTACTCCGTGTTAAAAAAACAAAATCCTAGTCTCACCTCGTTTCCTTGTTAACGTGGTATTCGAAGATGGCTCCGGTTGAGAAGACCCAGATAGTTTTCTTCACAGGATCTGTAACCATCCCAAGCATCTGACCATGCTAAATAATAAGTTTGAAATGTTGCATTTTATGCTATGCTATATTAGGGAGCGGTCATTATTTGGGTAATAAACATTATTGTCACTTTCAAAGCATGACTCACTCAACTATTGAAGACTACAAAGCAATGTCAACAGTCATATGCCAATACAATATGTAAATCAATCAATCAATCAATCAGAGTCACTATCTTGGAAAGAGTGCATTGGTGAACGATTCTGTTGGTAAACACGTTGGTAAGAAAAACGTCGTCGTCTCACCCTTTCAGGTAGAAGATCTTGAAACACAACTTGGTCGTTCAATAAGCAAACAGCTTCGAATCTGTAAAATACAAAATTATTATTTATCATTACATAATTGTTGCTTCTTTCTTGCTTTTCACTTTACCAATATTACTTTAACTAATTTATACTGGATACCTTTATCAGTTCTGAACTGTTCTGCCTATAGAGGTCCAGTGAGGATCATCTCTTCTTGATCCACTGTTACTACAAGAGGAAATCTAAACTAAACAAACTTTATTTATACTGGCTAGCTCTATCAGTTCTAAACTGTTCTTCCTAGAGGTCCAGTAAGAATCATCACTTATTAATCCAGTGTTACTACAGGAGGAAACCTAAACTAAACTAACTTTATTTATACTGGACAGCTCTATCAGTTCTAACCTGTTCTACCTAGAGGTCCAGTGAGGATCATCTCTTATTGATCCAGTGTTAATACAGGAGGAAACCTAAACTAAACTAACTTTATTTAATATAATTAGATAGCTCCATCACCTATAAAGTGTTCTCCCTAGAGGTCCAGTAAGAATAATCTCTTATTGATCCAGTGTTACAACAGGAGGAAACATAAACTAAACTAACTTTATTTCATTTATACTGGATAGTTCTATCGCTCCCAAACGGTTCTTCCTAGAAGTTAAGCAGATGATTAGATGGCTTACCGGTCCTTATACAAAAGTAAAACATGAAACTGGGTCAGCGCTAGAGCAATTGGTGGACTGGAGCTCTGGCCGTCTGCTGAGACATAGGGAAGTAATCGAGCCTGTAATGTGATTGAACTATCGCTGTCTTGTGGTGTGCTGTCAAAATTCAGTCCGCCACAGTAGACCCCAGGTCCTAGACAGTTATTAAAGTTTAACAGACAAGTAAATTAAAGACACGCAGGTAAACCAGGGGTGGGGTGGGTGGGGGTAGGTGGGGGTTAGGAGGAGGGGTTGATTTTTTGGAGGGGTGGGGCATCCACTTTTCCCAGCCTTGGTGAGGAGGGGGGTGCCAATTTCCTTATCAAACCCAAGCGAATGTATCATGAGTAAAGTATACAATGGATCTGACTCCTTATATATGCATGTTATCTAAATTAGTTTTATGTCACTGGAAAAAAAAGTGAAATCCATACTATGAAATTTGCAATTGCACCACCAAATCCAAAGTATATCCATATTATTTCCATACTATATCCATACTATGGGAATATACAATTATTATGGATAACCAAAATCCATTCTATTTCCAATAAATTGGTCCATACAATTTCCATTCTATGATCTTCTATGGATTTTTCAATTTTTTTAATTTTACGTGATTCACTCGTGATTTATTTTAATTTCGGGATAGGTACTAGGAACTCTACATGCGTCTGGGATCTTGTTTGTGGCTTACTTATAAGCATTATTTATTTAATGGATTTCTTATATCTTCAACGGGGTCTGGAAAGTAGACAATGCCGTGAAATATTGTATATTAGGTGCACGCATACAATGCGTGTGTTGTTTTCTATGTCAATCCATTGGAGAAGTCCCCTCCCCCCCCCCTACACGCTACAGACAATAGTACTTTTACTTTTACTTTTTACTTCAAGTATTTTTTAAGGATATTTTGTACTTTTTACTACTTTGTACTTACTTACTTTTACTACTTTGTTCTTTTTACTACTTTGATACTTTGTACTTTTTGATACTTTGTACGTTTTGCCTCCAGTACTTTTTACTCTTACTCAAGTCGTTTTATTGTTAATTACTTCTACTTTTACTCGAGTATAAATTCAAAGTAATTTAAGCACCACTGATCAAAATACCTGACAGCCAAGCGAAAGAGCTTGGGGTGCCTCTTGCTTTGGCATAATAAAACACCAGTTGACTCCATTCAAGTTTGTCAGACGGCAGTTCAAGAAAACTGGCTGTAGGGAAAAATAATTAGGAAACTTTTTAACGGTGGAGGAAGGCAACGCAACAACTGTCAAGCAAATTTAGGTGATCGGTATAATTCAATAAAAAATACCTGGATTGGTTTCAAACTGGCTGAACAAAGGAACAAATAGCGGCGGTTCTGACAAGGAAGCTTCTCCGATAAACTGAAACAAACGACTGCAACAGAAAAAATATCATTCGACCAATTCGAAAACTAGCTACCACAATTTTGCATTATTTTATATTTTAAACTTTATTTATACTCCCTAGAAATCCATGCAGTAAGGATCATCTCTTATTGATCTAGTGTTACTACAATGGAAACCTAATTAACTAAACTAACTTTATTTATACCGGATATAGCTCTATCAGTTCTAAACTGTTCTTCCTAGAGATCAAGTAAGGATCATCTCTTATTGATCCAGTGTTACTACAGGAGGATACCTAAACTAAACTAACTTTATTTATACTAAAAGGCTCTATCAGTTCTAAACTGTTCTTCCTAGAGATCAAGTAAGGATCATCTCTTATTGATCCAGTGTTACTACAGGAGGAAAGCTAAACTAAACTAACTTTATTTATACTGGATAGCTCTATCAGTTCTAAACTGTTCTTCCTAGAGATCAAGTAAGGATCATCTCTTATTGATCCAGTGTTACTACAAAAGGAAACCTAAACTAAACTAACTTTATTTACACTGGATAGCTCTATCTGTTCTAAACTGTTCTTCCTAGAGGTCCAGTAAGGATCATCTCTTATTCATCCAGTGTTACCACAGGAGGAAATCTAAACTAAACTAACTTTATTTATACTGGATAGCTCTATCAGTTCTAAACTGTTCTCCCTTGAGGTCCAGTAAGGATCATCTCTTATTCATCCAGTGTTACCACAGGAGGAAATCTAAACTAAACTAACTTTATTTATACTGGATAGCTCTATCTGTTCTAAACTGTTCTTCCTAGAGGTCCAGTAAGGATTATCTCTTATTCATCCAGTGTTACCACAGGAGGAAATCTAAACTAAACTAACTTTATTTATACTGGATAGCTCTATCAGTTCTAAACTGTTCTTCCTAGAGATCCAGTAAGGATCATCTCTTATTCATCCAGTGTTACCACAGGAGGAAATCTAAACTAAACTAACTTTATTTATACTGGATAGCTCTATCAGTTCTAAACTGTTCCCCTTACAGGTCCATGAGTAAGGATCATCTGTTATTGATCCAATGTTACAACAGGAGAAAACCTAAACTAAACTAACTTTATTTATACTGGATATCTCTATATCAGTTCTAAATTGTTCTCCCTAGAGGTCCAGTAAGGATCATCTCTCATTGATCCAGTGTTACCACAAGAGGAAATCTAAACTAAACTAACTTTGTGAAGGAAACATGGGAATATAACCTTCATGTGCGCCTAGCTGTCATGCCAAAACTGGCAAACACGAAAACGAGGCGATTGGGTCAAAATGAATAAACGGTCTATTGGTCACATATTCACTTGTTGTACCTCTGTGTCGTAACCATGACAATAAAGGTCCGGTCGGATCTTGGAAATTTATCAAACATGATACCAGTGATTGGTTCGTCTTCTTCACCACTGTTCACATTATGTAACTGAAAGAAAACAAATGTTCTAACACATGGTAATGTGTGTCAAATGGAGATCTTTCAAGTTTTCATAAGGAAATGCTCTCTATTAATGGATGAATCTGATCGAATACATGCAGGGTTTTTTTCAGGATTTTCTCTTGGGTCCGTTTTTGCAGAGAAGATTGAGTTTAGCCGAACAGCTGGGGTGGTTACGGAATGTGTTAAAGCAGGGGCACTGAGGGACACTATAAACTGGTTAAAGATGGCGAATGCATAATTTTTCTTGTGTTGTGAGATGAATTCCAGCCATTTTTTCCGTAATTGTCGGGTTTCCAACTGAAAACTAATTTCCACACGTCACGAATTTAACTCAAACAACTTCATTTTTACTGCACTGAAACTTTGGTGAGAAGATTGAGTTTCAAAATTCAATTCAAGATTGAGTTTTTGGGGCCGTTTAACGGCCCTAAAAAATCCCTGAAAAAAAGCCTGACATGTAGGACAATGCTATCTCGAATGTGAGGGTTTAGCATAGGTAGTAATCCACAATAGATCAAATATCTACACTATTAGTACTCTCAAAAAGATATCTCAAGCGTGGTTGTCCAGTGTAGGTAGTATTGTACAATAAGCTGACGTCGTTTGTGTCTGAACTACCTGAAAAAAGATATCTCAAACATGGTGAAACAACCTTTTATTATTATTATTATTATTTAAAAAATATTTTAAAACGGTAGCTTTTAGGGCTCGTAGGCACCTGTTTTTCAAGAGGCCGTTTGTTACAAGTATTTACAAGCTATAAATATAATAACACAAATATATACACAAAACAGAGAAAACATAACGAACTTAATAATTGCATGCACTACATTTGTTTCTGAATATGTCCTATTTCTATTTAAATATTTACAAAGTTACCAAATTGAATCAAGTGCCGTCAAGAATACGTTTAAATTTGTTAAGGCTAATGCCTTTTTCTTTTGCTGTAATTGATAAGTCATTCCAAAGGGAGGCAGCTGAATAACTAAAACTCTTTTTCATAAAATTTTTTTCAGGTTTTCCAAGATTAGTTGTTGTTACTTCTTAAATCATATCTGTCATTTATTCTTATTTTGAACATGTTAGAAATTGATGATGGCATTTTTTCGTTTCGTATTCTGTGCATAAAAATTTATTGGTTTTATAACGTTGGTTTAAACCTACAATAAGCTGTCATGGTTTGTGTCTGAACTACCTGAAAAAGATATATCACACGTGGTGGTCCAGCGTAAGTAGTATTTTACAATAAGCTCTCGCGGTTTGTGTCTGAACTACCTGAAGACGATATCTTAAACATGGTCGTTCCGTGTAGGTAGTATTCTACAATAAGTTGCTGTGGTTGTGTCTGAACTACTTGAAAAAATATCTCAAACGTGATGGTCCAGTGTAGGCAGTATTCTACAAAATCTTTTTCCAGGTATTTCAGACATAAAGCTGGAGTAATACGAGCAACAAAATTGCTGCAACTTGCAACAAAATCTGATTTCAACGCCATGTTAAGTAGAAACGTTGACACATGTTGCCTCGTGATTTGTAATGTATGTGTAAACATTTTCAATTAACATGCGTAGAAATCAGATTTTGTTGCAAGTTGCAGCAATTTTGTTGCCCATACTACTCCACCTTACTGTCGTTCCAATTGAAGTGTTGCTCAAATATTGATTCAATACATTACCTCGGGCTGACCAATTCATTTGATCAAGTTCCTCTAGATATTCATACACTTCCTGTGAAAGAGCCAATTCCAAGTATTTGATAATTTCTGGTCACTTCCTTTCTATTTATGATTGGTTAGTTGCACAAACAACAAAGGTGATTGGTGCATTCAAACTATTCAACAGGAAGTTTACAATTATACTAGGAAGTGTATGAATATCTCGAGGAACTTGATCAAATGAATTGGTCAGCCCGAGGTAATGTATTGAATCAATATTTGAGCAACACTTCAATTGGAACGACAGTAAAACCATAGCAGAAACATAAACTGTACGGACCTGTCTACAATACTTTTCCAGACCGGCTTGAAAAAACTTTTCTTCATTGTCAAGATCTGTTTCAAATATCAGCCCTATAAAAGTATGTTTTACACATGATCAGGGAAAAGATACATATACTAAATTCCAGGGTCTTAGCTAGGATCTTAGATCTTGGGCGTGTTTCTAAATGACCAGGGTGTGCATATTTGTAGTTATGCTCGCCAACAACAGACAATGCCTGCATGTCGTTGTTGTATGCTTTGCAACCTAATACAAGGCTAGTTCACATTGCGTACTGACATTAAAATATTAAGTTATTTCAGCAACTCCTGCGGGTATTTAAAACCATTTTAATACCATATGGTCTCATTATCCATCAAAACATTAAAACATCACGGATCACTTTTTCCAATTTCAACAACTATGTACAGTAGATTTTAGAAACTTTCTTACGACGTAAATTGGAAGAAATTCTGTCTGTTGTAAGTACTGTAGCACCACCTTATTTTATGAACCTACACGGCCTTATATAAATAATGAAGCCGCGTTCATTTTATCTAGCCGCGATAACACGGCCAACACGGCCCTCTAGCTAAGACCCTGCTAAATTCAGTGACGTGCAATAAGATAAACACTCCATGTAATAATTACTTATTAAATGTACAGTACTGTCAATAATTGGACAAATGTCAATGTTTACCTTTACTTGTTCCAATCAAAATTGCTTGTGTGGTTGTTTCGTTCAGTCTAGTTTTATTCCAAGCTACGGCTTCGATCAGGTGACCCTACGAAATATACATTATGATCTAATGTTGTGCGAGGACTGGGAAGGACAGAATAAATTATGGAATTTGGGCAACCAAATTTTGGATTTCGCTTCATCCATCAAAACAACAGTTACAGGGGCGGATCTATAGCTGGCTTTTAGCCAGAAGGGCGCCCAGGCGTTCAGGGACGCCCCTAGAACGAAAACGCCTTTGGACGCCCAAATTCTGGGGGGAAAGGAAAATTATTCTCAATGATTTCTCTAAGTATATTAATATATTTGAAACGAAACAGGTTCAATTCCCATTATTATTACACATTTAACATTTTGATCAATTTGATGGTGTACCTGGCTGAATGAAAATGTCATAATTAAGTAAAGAAGTACAGCGGCACAAACTCACAAAGCCAAGTGTGTTGGAAAATTTTCGAACGAGCTTGGAACAGATACTGACATGAAGTAACGTAAATTTCAAAGGTTTTCCAGAGGAACGTTTTCTTGACCCCCCCCCCCCCCCTTCCCCCCTCCCCTCTTCACTGTAGATGTATCGTTATACCAAAATTGGACGCCGGTCTTTCAGGACCCTGGCTAAAAGCCTGATCTACAGCAACTGTCCAGTCACATAATCGGCGTACATGATAAAAAGCCGACATAAACTTTATAATTATTAAACAAAACATAATGTAAAACGTAAGGCGTAAAAAAAATACCTGTGGTTCCGGTTCCCGACCGACCCTATTTTTTTCTGCCGACCCTATCATTTTTTCAACGCGATTGACCGTGCGACCCTATTTTCTCCGGGTGGTTGCGGGCTACTGCCAAAATGGCGTCTGTTGTCACACTAATTATTGAAAAAACCATGAAAAAAATATTCAAAAAAAAAATTATTTCCGACCTACCGACCCTAATTTTTTGGCGATATGAAACCGGAACCACAGGTATTTTTTTATGCCTAACAGAACATGATTTTTTCAGTGTTGGTGTAGTGTTACTCTGAGTGTATATCCATATCGGGCAAGCTTGAAAAATATGCCTGTCGACGGTGGGAATCGAACATTGCCATTGCCAAATGTCATCACAGCAGTGCATAATGTCATATAAAATTGTAGGAATCAATTGCTAATTCCCAGTGTTGTCAAACTTGAACCAACGAACAACGTATGCAAACTCGTCAAGCTGACGAACTAAAAACAGTCAACCTTGAAGGATGATATCTATGTTTAAGAATGAACCAGTGCCGTAATTGCTATGGGCTCGGACCGGGCGAACCCGGGGCCCCCGACCCCAGTGGGCCAAATGGGGGCCCTCAGACTGTAGAGGCAAGGGCCTCTGATATGTCACAACGTCGTTTTCTGACCGTCAGAATTTTGTAAAATCTCTCCCCAAAGTCTGGGAAATGACATTTCAGAGAGTCTAGATTCAAAAATTTTCCGGGTAAGCATGAGGACCCCTAGAAAACTAGCCTGCGTAGCAGGCGTTTAGTGCGGGCGGGAGAAGAAAGGGCGTCGTTAAATAAACGCCTGCCCAAATGCCTATGATTAATTTGTTCTTCTCCGAAGAATCTTCGGAAAAGCTTCCCATTGGTTAATCTCGTTAACGAAAGTAATTACGTAACTCAAATGTCAACAATAATTTTGCTCGCGTTGACGCGTTTACACTTTATAGTCGCGTATCAAAAATATGCCGCCTGTTAATGCTTTCGAGGAAACTTTCTTATATTTCAAGTATTTAGGCTTCGAAATTCAGTTGAACCAGAACAGAGAAAGTATATTATTAATTTGCTACGTGGTGAAGACGCCGGTTATCGCGATTCTTCCTAGAAATACGGAAAAGTTTGATCTTTCAATTATACATTTTAAATATATCCTGAATATTTCTTTAATTAATATAGTTGTCTTGTTATTTGTTCACTTTAAAGTATAATTCAAGACCAGATAGTTGAGGCTATATCACTTGGCATTGCAGTTATGAGGTTGAATGATGATTTTAAGAATAACATTTCAAAACATGCTCAACTGTACTTTTGCTATACGGCAGAATACGTTAAACAACCGTGGTTCAGGAGTCTTTTAAAAGATAAAAGCTCTGTGCACGTTGTGACTGACTGTTGTCTAAAATAGCTTCAAAAACTCATTAATAATTCATGAGGAAAACACAAAGAAAAATCATAAACGTGTCGTATCCTTGATATGTGATAGAGATTTCCCTTGATTTACATAAATTTTAATGATTTTTTCTACATATACACCGATTCGAATTTTTTGAAAGCTACTTCGCCAATGAATGTATACTAGATCGATCGTTTTTGAAGCAATTTAAAACATTCGCAGTGCTTGTTTTATCAGACCATCTTTACATCTGATAAAACACTGCTGCTCGTGTTTTAAATAGTGCATAAAATCTCTGCAAATCTCCGGTAGTTGCCCATCCTCGTTCCCAGGGCTTCTCGGCTGCCTGCAGGCAGCCGAGAAGCCCTGGGAACGAGGATGGTAGTTGCCGAGCAAAAAGCATGCATGATGCTAAATATAAATCTCGACTATGATTGGATAATGGGTGAAGGTGCTAATTACAAAACGTCAATCATCCTTAATGGGCGAAAACAAATTTGTCATAGCCAATTTGGGCAGGCGTTCCCTCTGTACCCGCCCGTCAGCTAAACGCCTGCTACGCAGGCTACTAGAAAACTCGCGCATATATTTATACGGAGCTCAACTTGTGCCTTTGGCACTTCTACTAGGGGGCCTTCGAAAATTTTGAACCGGGGGCTCCCTGATATAACGTGACGCCACTGGAATGAACAAGTACCAACCTTTAATTTGGGAATAGGCTTAGGTTTCTTGCTGTTTCTTGCCAGATAAAGAGACTCGTATGATCTCAAGCAGATAATTGCATGCCGTGCTGTTGGATCTTGGAATATTTTATACACCGTATCTTCTGGCTTTTTAGAAACTTCAATTTCTAGAAATAAAACATTTCAACTCGTGTCAAACAGAATAGAAGAATATCGTACTTGTATTTAAATTCGAAATTTTAGAATTTCAAGCGCAGATCATACATATAGGTGTGCACAATATTAAACAGAGCGAAAAATTATCTGTGTGTGAATGTTTGCCATCGTGAAACACAAAAACTTCGCAGTTAGAAAAATCAAATTAATTTTATAGAAATAATTTCATATGACACATAGAGAAACCGTCCTGCTATATTTCATAATATTTTGTCAAGTATTAGAGATGCTCCCGATTAATCGAATATTTTTCCACAATCGATTCATCTATAACACACAGATCATCTATAACTTACACCACACTCCACACAGGGTGATGAATTAATTTCTTTCCGGATTAAAAAAATTTGTGATTGAAACATTAAATGACAAATCGATTCAAAACATTGTGGGTCAAATATCAGTTCCACTTGCACCGGTGCAAAGTTTACCATAGACTGATCAGGTTACCAGTGCTGCAAAAATATTTTTAAAGTTTATTTATTAAAATAATTTATTACCATTTGCGTCCAACATTAGCCATTCCGAAGTTGATGAGTGGACTGGGGACGAGTGTTAAAAAGTGCCCAAATTAAGAAATGAACCAAATCACTAAAAAGACCACCTCAAAATTAGTAAGTATACAAAGTTTGAAGACGTTTACATGAATACCCTTCGAATAATAAGCTTTAGAAAATCCGATATTTACTATGAAATGTATTGTAATTTGTGTTTTTGGGACGCGCGTCCCAAAAACAATCTTTTAATCAGTAATTTCATAATTTTCGAAAGCTTATTATTCGAAGGATATTCATGTAAACGTCTTAAAACTTTGTATACTTACTAATTTTGAGGTGCTCTTTTTAGTGATTTGGTTCATTTCTTAATTTGGGCACTTTTTAACACTCGTCCCCAGTCCACTCATCAACTTCGGAATGGCTAATTGCGGTGTGCTTCGGTGTGCAAACATAAACCAATTATCCATAAGGCGAGACTTTTTTATTTATTGGTTTATGGATTTAACTTAAAAAAAAGAGGTCAGAAGGTCGGAAAAAAAATTAAAACAACATTGTTTTTCAAGATTATCACAAAGATAACATGAGCCACCAGTAATGTGAGTCAAAGTTTACTTGGCGTGTACTTACATGTCAGAACCCCAAATTAACTAAAATCGTAAAATTGTCGACATCCAATTTTTTTTTTATTTTTCACTTTCCAAAAATTTATGGTCAGCGGATCCACAAGGCGTAAAAAACAATACCTGTGGTTCCGGTTTCATATCGTGAAAAAATTAGGGTCTGTAGGTCGGAAATAAAATTTTTTTTTGATATGTTTTTCATGGTTTTGCCGGTTTTTCCCAACATCAATATTAACTAGAGGTGTGTATTTCCTATGGACGAATTTAGGCAATTTGGTTCATTAATTATTGTGACAACAGACGCCATTTTGGCACGCTGTATGAGCAGCCCGCAACCACCTGCACAAAATAAGGTTGCAAGGTCAATCACGTTGAAAAAATAATAGGGTCGGCAGAAAAAAATAGGGTCGGTCGAGAACCGGAACCACAGGGTTCTTTTTTATGCTTAAACCAATAAATAAAAAAAATTTTGCCTAAGAGTCTAAGTCTCGCAAAGTTTAATTAACTACAATTTACAAACCTGTCACACCACCATGGGTTTGTCAAAATTTAAATGAATTATCAATACGATTAAATTATTAATCGATATTAATCAATTATTGACATGCAACGATTAATCGATTACGAAAATTAACCGATGGGAGCAGCTCTATCAAATATTGATTTCATCAACTTACTGTCAAGTTCTTCTGTGTTCATCAAGTTCAATCTCATGACTGAGCTGTTTAGAGCAATAATCACTGTACTGTTGCTGACTGATAGATCCATGATGCTTGACGGAGGTCTAAAGATAAACAAATTAAGTAACATAACAGATGGAACCGGCCATAGACTAAATTTTGATCTAGGCAAGAAGAACAAAATCCACCAGCAAAGCTAGAAAGAGCGTGTTAAAATTAGTAAAATTGCAAAGTTTGGTTGTAAAATGAGGAAAATGTAGCCCTACAACAATTTGCAAATTTTGTATTAATTTTTATCACGCACAGGAAAATGCACCACTTTCGGCCCAAATGTGGTGCGTTTTCCCCAAACAATACCTACCTGAAATTAATTTTCTCTCGGCGAAACATCTGTACATCGTCGCTGCGAAAGTCAACATAGCCAGTGGCAATCTGGACGTGAAACAATGAAGTAAAACATCAAGGTCCAAACTTTTCAGCATGCCTGGTGTGGACACACTCATAGCAACATCACAAACATATGAAATTTATTTGTCAACGATCCAATTTTGGTGAATAGTTATATTTTTATATTGAATTATATTATAGTACAGTACCCATTACACCACCCACTGGCAGTTTCTATCTAAAAAGGATACCAGATTTCGCTATTCCTTATAGCCATTGTGCAGCGATTTGTGGCTATAAAGGATACCGGATTTCGGCACACATTATAGCCACGGCGGTTTGTGGTTACAAAAGATACCTGATTTCCCCATTCCTTATAGCCACAGAGGTTTGTGGCTATATAAAGGATACCGAATTTTGGCACACATTATAGCCACGGTGGTTTGTGGTTACAAAAGATACCTGATTTCCCCATTCCTTATAGCCACAGCGGTTTGTGGCTATAAAGGATACCGGATTTCGGCACACATTATGGCCACGGCAGTTTGTGGTTACAAAAGATACCGGATTTCCCCATTCCTTATAGCCACAGAGGTTTGTGGCTATAAAGGATACCGAATTTTGGCACACATTATAGCCACGGCGGTTTGTGGTTATAAAAGATACCGGATTTCCCCATTCCTTATAGCCACAGCAGTTTGTGGCTATAAAGGATACCGGATTTCGGCACACATTATAGCCACAGTGGTTTGTGGCTATAAAAGATACTGGATTTCCTCATTCCTTATAGCAACAGCGGTTTGTGGCTATAAAGGATACTGAATTTCGGCACACATTATAGCCACAGAGGTTTGTGGCTATATAAAGGATACCGGATTTCGGCACACATTATAGCCACAGTGGTTTGTGGCTATAAAAGATACTGGATTTCCTCATTCCTTATAGCAACAGCGGTTTGTGGCTATAAAGGATACCGGATTTCGGCACACATTATAGCCACAGTGGTTTGTGGCTTATAAAGGATACCAGATTTCCCCCATTCCTCATAGCCACGGCAGTTCGTGGCAGTAAAGGTATGCTCATAAGCATTCTCATGAGGATATTACATGGTTTTGGTAAATACACGGGTGTGCTCATGAGCACACCAAAATCAGGTATGTTCATTAGCGTGTTCATAGACACACAAAAATGGGTCATTCCACTAAACATCCATACCACCCCACGGAGGAAATAGGAAGTTAACCCCCTTACCCCCTTCGGATGTCCTAATACATTTACTATTATCAGAAACAATTTTTTCTCCCCTCCCCCTCCAGACGGCAGAAATTTCCTCTGTGGGGGGAGTATGGATCTTTTCTGGAACGACCCAATCATTGAGTATGCTCATAAGCATGCTCATGACTCGGATATTACAGGATTTTGATACATATTTGCATGCGGTCATGAGCATACCGAAATCCGGTATGCTCATCAGCCCCCTCATACGTACACAAAAATCATGCAGTATGCATGCTCACGAGCATACCAAAGTGCTATAAAGGTACGCCGAAATCCAGCATCCTTTATAGCTACAAACCGCCATGGCTATATAAAGGTATGATTAAATCTGGTATCCTTTTAATATAACCACAAACCGCTGAGGTTATACGCTATGCCGAAATTCGGTATCTTTTGTAGCCACAAATTGGGAAAGATACTTTTTATATGTCTAAATACAGTACAGGTTTAAATTGCATATAGTACATATAGTAATTGATGCATTTGGTTTAGAACAAAGTCAGTAGAAAGAGTACAAAGTATGGTATAAAACTCACAGGTTCATCACTCAATATCTGTCTGCTTGATGGCAAACCTCCACCCGTTTGTTGTTCATGTTCGTACTGTTCCAAAATGGAGGCCATCTTGGTTCCGGAATGCCCGCAGAATGTCTGCTGCAAATCAGGCATAATTCAGGCAGTTTCTATATTGCGGGTTAGCAACTAAAATCGGGGGTGATTGTCCTCTAATCTGACAAAATATCATCGTATATTCTCACGTGAAAGTGAAACTTGAAGGCTTTATTTGCAGTATTATCGCAGTTTATCATAATAACCGTTTATCATAATTTTTTCACGTGAAATGCTTGTATCTGCTAATGTTCATCGATAGTTGCCAACGACGGTACTCATCTAAAGCTGTTCATCGTTAGCTGCAAACGACGGTATTTTGGGGAATATTTGACAACCGGAAACAAAGCTGTATGCAACACTTCCGGGACATTTTTGGCTTCCTTTTTTGCCGGTTTGTGTACGTGGAACCAAGTCACAGCGCCCTATATTCCATAATCGACGCTTTTCTTTCAAATTTAACGATGGATTTAGACAAGGTACGAACCCATCTCGAAGAAAACGACCAAGGACATTTGTTAGACCACTACGATCGTCTATCCGACGAGGAAAAGAAAGCGTTTCTGGGTGAGCTGTCGGCGCTTGACTTGGCCCATGTAAAGCGCGTTTTTGAGCTTAGCGGTACAGAATCTACAGATTCAAGCAGTTCTGGGGAAAAGGATAAAACATTAGAGCCTATTCCTGAATCGGCAAGGGACAGCGTCGCCTCGGCTAGCGAAGAATTGTTAAAACAATGGCAAGATGCTGGTTTGGAAGCGATAGGCGAGAGCAAGGTTGCTGTGCTGTTGTTAGCTGGCGGGCAAGGAACAAGGCTCAATGTTCCGTATCCGAAAGGCATGTACGATGTCGGCCTTCCTTCTGAAAAAACTCTGTATCAAATCCAAGCAGAGAGGATCTTGAAAGTTCAAAAATTAGCGGGAAAGCCTTGTACAGTTCCATGGTATGCTATTATGAAATATTATAGATTTTTGTGTGATTATGTCAATGTCAGAAGCCGGAAGTGGTATATAAAATATATAGCTCTTTAGAATGAAATTCTCCCATAAAAATATACCCAATTTACTATTTTTCAAGAAAGCAACTGCGCTTCTGCCTTTCGACGTGGCATTTTTGGCGTGTCAGGGATATTTGTTAATTTGCATTCTGTTTTATTGATGCAATTAATGTGTTTGTAGTAACAGCTTCGATTTTCCTCTAATTTATATTCATTTTTCTCAAGTGGATATTAGTAGCTATAGCAACTTTAATAGGACGTTTTCAGAATTCCTGATTTTCTGGGGCATGTAATTAGTATCGGAAATTATATGGTTTGAGAAGAATTTATGAAAAATTAAATTGCAAGCCTGTTTTATAGTCTTAGAAATGCTAAATTAAAATATATTTGATTTACTGTAATTGTCAACATCTGATCACAAGATATTCTCATGAGTCATGACCTTGCTTTTTTGGAAAAACACATGCAGTGACATTTCTAAGAATTTTCAATCATGTGATAAAAAGCACGAAATATGTTAATAACCTATTAAGAAATTGGATGCATTATTGCTATGGGTTAATCCATCCATGTCTTAATTTACTGTAAAGATAAAAAGCAGAGCCCAGCAAATAAACCAAACATAATAAAAGTACTGTAAACAACGAAACGTTAGCTGTTAAAATTTTTACTTTTATTAATTTAAAACCAAATAATAAAAGTAAAAATTTTAATTGCTAACATTTTGTTGTTTTCAATCCTTTATTATGTTTGGTTTTAAAGTTATTTGCTGGGCTCTGCTTTTTATCTTTAAATGAAGATTTCCGCCTGGTGTGTCAATTGCCACGTCTATGTCTTGTTTAGAACTGGCTCGGCCATCAAGCAGTTTGCTTTATATATTGACCTATCTGCCATGCAAGTACTGACTTGTTCTATTCGCCTAAACATGTCATGTTTAGTTCAATAATACAGTACAAATATGAAATATAGTTCTTATAATGCAAATGTCAAAGTTCAATGTATCACATGCTGGGCCACAAAACGTCATGTTCACTACATGGTTTTATTATTGGTTTTATTACAGTTTCAAAATACCAGATGAATTATCAAGACTTTGACACTTGCTATATAATAAAACACTTATTTAGTGAGACCTTGGGAAAACAGTGTGTTTTGTGGTCCTCAACCGCCATTGTTGGCAGTCTCAATAGACCTTTTTAAAAAGTCTGGCTTGTGACGTAGTTTGCGGATAAATTTGATAATTTGGCCAATCAGGCAAGCCAAATGGCTGTGCTGGGTTTTCCTTTATCCGCAAACTATGCCACAAGGCAGACTTTAAAAAGGTCTATACATACTGTTTCGCTCAGACACAGTAAGTGATAATTAATTTATTTTACTTAAGGTAGCTCTACTCTGATTTCTCAGGTACATAATGACAAGTGAACACACGCAAACATCAACCGAAGAATTCTTTTCTAAACACCACTATTTTGGCTTGAAGAAGGAAAATGTTGTTTTCTTCGAGCAAAACCAATTTCCGTGCCTTACTCCTGAAGGAAAAATAATTTTAGCATCTCCTGGAAAAATTGCCAAGTCACCGGATGGTAACGGGGGACTCTACAAGGCACTGGGGGAGCGGGGCATCCTGAAGGACATGGAAAAAAGGGGAATCGAACATATTCATGTTTATGGTGTTGATAATATTTTGGTCAAGGTGGCTGATCCAGTTTTCATCGGCTTTTGCCGGTTGAAAGATGCTGGTTGTGGTGCCAAGGTGTGCACATATCTGATTATCTATTCTGGGGCCGGTTGTTCAAAGTGGGATTTGTGTTAACCTTGGGTTAATGTTAATCCCTGATTTCTGTAGTAACACTGGACCAAAAAGTGATGATCCATACTAGACCTCTAGGGAGAACAGTGTAGATTTGATAGAACTATCCAATATATTCAGGTTTCCTCCTGTAGTAACACTGGATTAATAAGAGATGACCCTTACTAGACCTCTAGGGAGAACAGTTTAATAGAACAGATAGAGCTATCCAATATAATTAAAGTTAGTTTAGTTTAGTTAGGAAGAACAGTTTAGAACTGATAGAGCTATCCAGTATACATAAAGTTAGTTTATTTATCATGGTTACAGGTGGTTGAAAAAGTTCTTCCTACTGAAAAGGTTGGAGTTATTTGTCGACTGGATGGTAGATTCAAAGTAAGTACTGTAAATCATGTAGTTTACCCTTTTAAGTGGCAATGCACTCTGATGCACCCTACAATATTATTTTACTCTGTGTAATGCCAGACAATTCTATTCGTCAAGGGCAGAGTGCTGCCACTCATTGGGTTAATTTCTTGCTTTTGAAATGTGCAGCCAGTCAGTGTCGGAAATTCACTTTTTCCGGTGGGGGAGCAAAGCCTCCTAAATTTCCGACAAAACTTTCAAATTTCCAAAACTTTCAAATTTCCGACATACCCCCCCCCCCCATTTGCACTCAAAAATACTGTTTTTAGCCCTCTTTTAGGTCAAAATTTCCGAAAATTCATCAATTTTCTGTGAAGGGGGGGGCAGTCGCCCCCTCGATTTCCGCTACTGCAGCCAATACTTCGGAAGATGACAGCCAACTCTTAATACTAACTTAAAATCCACCAATTATTTTTATCTTTTTTTTTCAGGTTGTAGAATATAGTGAAATATCGTTAGAGCTTGCCCAGAAAAGAGACAAAAGTGGCCATCTTGTCTTTAACGCTGGGAACATCTGTAATCATTATTTCACTGTGAACTTTCTCAAAGATGTTGTCAGGTACAATATGTCGGGCACATTGTTTATCTAAACTAAACTAATTTTGTTTATACTGAATCGTTCATAGCCATAGGGGCGGATCTAACATGGGGTGGCAGGGTGCTGGGGTGTTCGCCCCCCCCCCCCAATCTAGTGATGTCCAGCATCCCCTAGAGAGAAGATTAGCAAAACTTCTATACTATAATTGATTTGTGAGCTCATGAGAAAATACTCAGAACAGGGGTGGCGGAACAGGGGGGCTAGGGGGGGGCTTAGCCCCCCCAGAAAATTGAATTTTTGGAAAAAAATTTGATAATTAGGGAAAAATTTAGGTTATTTTTTGAAAATTTAGGTATAAGGGGACAAATTTGCAATATTTTGTTTAAAAAAAGAGTATTTCCAAAAAAAATTTTTGATATAAGTCCGAAAAAATTTTTTTCGTTTTTTTCAGGGGGGGGGGGAAGGGCGCTGAAAAAATTTAGCCCCCCCAGAACGAAATCTATTCCGCCGCCGCTGACTCAGAATGCTTTAGTTAAATATCATGGTTAAATATGTAAACAATGTTTAAACATGTTGAGGTTGTTTTGCAGCCATATTTTCAAATATACTGTACTTTATTATAACAAGCAAATTTACAGTACTGTGCTACAGCAACTGTCCAGTCACGCATACGTGATAAAAAAGCCGATTTTTTACTTTATAAACAAAAGATAATGTATTACGTAACAGAACGGCGAACATGCAGATTCAGCCATCTCAGATAATGGTAATGTTGGGGTAGTAGCGTTGCAGACTGCAGAGGAGAGTGGGCAGTAAGGCTCCCTCATGCACCACCCCATGGAAAACTTGCACCCCACCTTGCTGATGAGGCTAGATCCGCTCCTACCAGCCGTCCATCAAAAGTCATCACTTATTGCTACAGTGAAAATTTCTAATCCTTGTTTTTCTTTCGTATTTCAGTAATCACGAAGAAGAACTCAAACCTCACGTGGCCAGGAAGAAAATCCCTTATGTGGATAGCGAAGGAAATTGGTGCGTCCTTTAAATCAGCTCAAATATACTTTTCCTTTCTTTCCATCATTCTCGCCATTCATCCCCTCCATTTTTTTTATTCATCTTCCCATCCTACCAAGCTTACCAATGAATGAAAGATTTAGTCAAGTCTCCATTGTAATTTTGATTTGCTAACAGCGGTACAAAATATCAGCCGGGCACGACTTCTGCCACGCCCTTTTGGTCGCGCAAAACAAGCTCACCCCCCCCCCCCCCCCCC